TGTGTAATATAGTGTAGTTTGTAAAAAAAAAATTATAAATATATCCTACCGCTGAAAGAAAGGTTTATATGAATTTGAGGGAGGGTAGATCATCTCTTAATCCCTTCGTGATTTTACCATTGATAATGACAAGGCTGGAAAATACATGGTATATAGAAAATTGTTTTCATATTAAAATAGCAAATGATTGAGCATTGTGTTGTGGTATATAAGCTATGACATGTGTCCGCGTGATTTTCGGTCCATGGCCGCCGAACCACTTAGAAAGCGAAGCGTAGACGAGGTCATTGAAACAAAAACCAGACAAGGAAAAGAAACGCATTCTTTTTCAAATTATACCTCCCCCACCGAAGTAATTATACTTTAGTTAACAACCACCATGTGCCACCCTTTGACACTTAGGCCTAGTTCATTCGCTTCTGAATTTGTGTTTGTAATTTTGTATTGCTTGGTGATGTGTATGGTTTTGACTTCCGTAGAAAACATGTTTCTTTTGCCCCCGTGACAAGAATAACACCATGCTCATTTTAGCCCCGTGAATGGAAAAGTTGCGGCAATTAATCGACACGGTACGTTGCTTAGATTGAACTCTATCTTACTTTTTATGCAATTTGCAAACATTGATATACGAAAAATGCTGCTCAAACGTCAAAAACTCGCATAAAGAATATCTATATGTCATGTTACACTTTTTTTTTTTTTGTAAATTCATGTTACACTTTCTCATTCGTGTCTTTTAGTTTATTTGTAGTATTTTCTTTTGAAGGTAACCGATATATTGATATTTAGTTTATTAATAGTACAATTTTAATTAATTTACATGAATTAGTTTTCAAAGTTAACTTTTATTAATCGGATATCATATTCACATAATTTTAGACAAAAATAAAAACTTGGTCCAGTGAATGGGCCTGTTTATATATATAACGTCAAGATAAAGTGGTAATTATTTGTATAAAACAATTTTAGGGAAAAAAAATCTCATTCAATATTATAACATTGTTAAGTATGATTCCAGCTTAGCATCTGGTCAATAACTGATGTACCCTTGACGTAGATAAAGTTAATAAGGGTTTGAGGTGTCATCCCAGCGGACGAAGGAGGATGCAGGGGCAACGCCTTCGTTCTCGTAGAGGCCTATATTGATATAAACCCTGAGTTTCTTTATAATTTTTTCTTTAATAATTTAGGTTTAGGCTCAATAATAGTTAATGCAGTTACATGCATGATTTTCTAAATTTATTTTTATATATTATCTTGTAATTGAGTGCATTATAACAAGTCAGATAAGAATAATATAGTGATAAACATGCTGGACGTAGCCAGGGGCGGAGACAAGGGGACGCTAGGGTGGGCAGTCGCCCCCCTCCCAAAAAAAAGTTGAAAAAAAAAATTAATGCAGTTGAAGGCTAAACATGATACTGATGTTATTATTAAACGTGTTTTTTCTAGAAGTTCTGGTTTGAGATTCAAGTTGAAATCTACCTCTATTTCACCTAATCTATGTGTAACATTTTCTGCATTTTTTATTTTATTTTCATATGCTATGTTTCGTTTAATGAAAATTTTGGTCTTTTTGCCACTCTTTTGCTCTCTTTTCTTTTCATTGGCATTGTTGTGTTTTTTTTTTGTGTAGTGGTTTCGTATAGAGAAAATGAATTTGTTCTACTAAAGATTCACTTTTTTGTTATCAAAAAAAAAAAAAAAAAGATTCACTTTTTGGGATAACTTGATTGCAGTCTTTTATTTTATTTTTTTGTAAAAACAAAAACGTGTAGTTAAAAATATTGTATTAGTTAATGCACTCTTTTTTTATTTTAATTATTGCTTTAAACTACTTTTTATGTTTGTTCGACCCGGCCAACAGTACATTTTTTTAATCTTCAAAATATTGTTAAATGTCAATATTTTGGTAAAAAATTATCTAAATGAGTTTCATGAAGATATGAGGTCAATATGTAAAGAAAATATTAATATTATACAAAACAAAAAATTAATTTTCGTCCCCGCTTTCCTCCAATCCCGGCTCCGCCACTGGACGTAGCCCTATATTGAGCTAAATCAGAGTAAATTGTATCTTCTGCTTTTCTTCCCTTGTTCTTTTCTCTATTGTTGATTGTGTATGTAATTGTGTTGATTCTTACAAACATGACACAATTTTTGATTAAGGCTGACAATTATGAATTATATTTACAGATAGCATATTAATGAAAAACTATACGAGCAAAACTCAAACTCAAATTTTTTATTGACATTTTTTAAGCTTACTAATTAAATCAATTTTTATTAACAAATAAAGTTATTAATTCACTTACGGTCACGATCACACTTAATTGTGTAGGGGTGAGGAGCAATAATACAATTAAAGCCTCCCAAAAAATATTTGAGTAAATACATAATTTTTTAGGTAGATATTTTCGTAAAATTTAAACAAGTTTCATCTATTTTTTTAAGATAGTACTCCACTACTTAAGATTTTCTAATCTCACCCTTGCGTATGATGACAAACGCATTCATTATTTACTTGACTATAATATATATTCTTGATCTAATGACACATCTATTTTATCATATGAATTATTAGGCATTAAAATTGATTGTCGCTTTGAACAAATCAACTTAGTTTAAATGATCGCATAATTGATTTTTCAAATACAACTTTTCATTTTTTAAAGGCCATAGAAACAAGTTTCAATTGACCTAAAAATGGATGACGAAATCAAATAACCCTAATCTACGAGCATTACTTGTTCAATAACTTAAACAATATATATATATATATATATATATATATATATATATATATATATATATATATATATATATATATATATGGATTTATCATTTTTCAACAATCTTAAAATTATATAATTTTGAGGGTTGAGAGAATTAATAAAGAGAGTTTTGATGAAATTCATATACAAAATAACAAATAAAATTCCTAAAATATCTTTCATTAATCATCTCAATCCCCAAAATGATGTAATTTTAAAATTGTTGAAGATAATTTTATCTTTTATGGCAAGAGAAATATTTCTCTATCTATCTCCCCCCTCTCTCTATATATATTAATTATTAAAAACTCAATAATATGTAAAAGAAATATATATTTTTCTGATTAAATTTTAAGTAGTTAAATAACATTACTCTAAAACTTAATATATATACATTATATTTGGCTGCGAACATTCTGAGTGTCAATTCTTAATGGCCGGCAACTAACAACCTATGCAGTATGCATAAACAAGAGAACATTTTGGGAATATAATGAGAACAAAATCCATCAAGCTCCAATCACGTATCTTTTGGGGCGGCGAAAAGGGGGCTTAATTAGTTTTGGGATTTGGACCACATTCTCTTCTCTTTTTGGCCATTTCTTCAACACTTACACTTTTCCACCATAATGTAACTCAATATATGCATATTTTAATGCAAATGCCAATTTCAGTACTCACCAAATAGATTTTGTAACTGATGTGTCCACTACACTATGGGCTGGTCAATATGGACAGAGTCAAATCACACACGGTCGAAGAGAGAAGAATTTGGGTTAGGTGAAGTGCTTCGTGGGCTGATGATGTATGCTATGCGGTGAATTGGTGTTGAGCTCCCTTGGCGCGATGGCTCTGGCTAGGAGGTACTTGCAATGACAGTCTGACGCTCAAGTCAGTATCAATGCTAGGCTTAAGTTATATTCTTACTGGAATTAGATAATCATATCTGGGTGTGTACCCTTTGTTTATATAGCAAGTCTTATGCCACCTTTGGTAGGTGGTATGTCTTCTGATTGGCTGTTCATGGGCTACAGACTTATCTTATCTCAGCTGGTGCCTTTCTGGCTATAACCCTATATGATGGGCTGCCTTCATAGAGTGGTGGCAAGCTGAAGCTGTCTTTCGTGTATTGGCTTATGGCGCGGTGGATCTGTTGGAAATAATCAAGTATGAGTTGTAAAGAAGTACCACATAGGCTAGACATAGACCAAGTGATGACTATATAAGTGAAAAAAGACCCATAAACCTACAGTCTTAAGGTTTTGGGTTGAGATGTGGTGTCGGCCCACTTATTATGGTTTGTCATTTGGCCCATTGGTGGATGTACCATTTGCAAAGGGTTTTGGGCTCCCTCGTTCTATTCCCAACAATGGTATCAGAGCAAGCATGAACTTCTGTTGTTGGGAATAGAACGAGGGAGCCCAAAACCTTTTGCAAAGGGTACATCCACCAATGGGCCAAATGACAAACCATAATAAGTGGGCCGACACCACATCTCAACCCAAAACCTTAAGACTGTAGGTTTATGGGTCTTTTTTTACTTATATAGTCATCACTTGGTCTATATCTAGCCTATGTGGTACTTCTTTACAACTCATACTTGATTATTTCCAACATCCTCCCCTCAAGTATAAGACCCAACATTATGCTCCCCCTTAAGGGCAACTTCTGCGGAAGTCTTTTTTCTTTAAGTATTGGAGTCACACTAGCCTTCTGCGGAGGCCTTGAAACATCACCATCTCTAAATACCCAGCCCAGCCAAACCTTTGGCTCTGATACCACTGTTAAGAATGGTACGGGGGAGTCCAAAACCCATTGTGATACCGTTAAGACTCATCAAACAACTTTAGTGCAGCACATGGCCATTACATCAAACTTAAAAGACCATTGAATTTTCTAACGGACAAAAAACAAAGAGACTCTAACATTCCCTCCCTTAAACTGATGTTCTTGAAAAATTTAGTTTACTCCAAATCCTTTGACTTTCTCCATGGAACATATGTCAAGTAATCCCCTGAGCTTTTGAAACGCAACATATTTAAGAGGCTTCGTAAACAAATCAGCAACTTGATCCTCACTTCTACAAAAATTAAGATCAATTATACCAGCCTTTGTAAGATCCCTTGAGAAATGATACTTCACATCTATATGCTTGCTTCTCCCATGTAAAATTGGATTCTTTGACAATTTAATTGCAGAATTATTGTCACAATAAATTAAAGTTGCTCATTCTTGCTTGAAGTGAAGTTCTTCAAGAATTCTCCTTAGCCAAATGGCTTGGCATGCACAAGCTGTAGCAGCAACAAATTTAGCTTCTGTGCTTGACAAAGTGAAAATTGGTTGCTTCTTCGATGCCCAAGAAATAGCACCTGTACCAATCATAAAAACATAACCTGATGTGCTCTTCCTGTCATCTTGATCTCCTGCATAATCACTGTCAGTAAATCCCACTAAATCAGATTTTACACCCTTCTTGTAAAATATCCCGAAAGTTCTTGTTCCTTGCAAGTAGCGAAGGATTCTCTTGGCAGCCAACAAATGTATTTCTGTAGGATTTTCCATATACCTGCTAATTAAACTCACAGAATACATTATGTCTGGTCTTGTTGCAGTGAGATACATCAAATTTCCCACAATTTGTTTGTAGAAGGTGCTGTCAACCTTTTTTCCTCCATGATCTTTATGTAACTTCAAGCCACATTCAACTGGAGTGTGCACAGGATTACAATCCTTCATTTGAAACCTGTCTAGAATATCTTCCACATATTTATTTTGAGAAATAAAAATTCCATCACTTGATTGTGCTACACTTATGCCAAGAAAGTAATGCATCATACCAAGATCAGTCATTTCAAACTCATTCATCATAGACTTCTTAAATTCTTCAAACATAACATCACAATTTCCAGTGAATATAAGATCATCTACATATAAGCAAACAATAAGCATTTTTCCTTCATCACCAATCTTAACAAAGAGTGTATGTTCATAAGGACAATTTATAAAACCAGCCTTAAGAAAATAAGACTCAATGCGACTTTACCAAGCTCGAGGGGCTTGTTTTAGTCCATAAAGTTCCTTTTTCAATTTGTAAACTTTATGCTCATTTCCAACTTTCTCATAACCAGGGGGTTGTTCAATAAATATTTGTTCCTCTAAGTACCCATGCAAGAATGCCGATTTGACATCTAGCTGGAAAATAGGCCAAGAATTTTGTGCAGCCAATGCAACCACCATCCTGATGGTATCATGTCTCGCAACAGGAGAAAAAACTTCTGTATAATCAATCCCATATTGTTGCTTGTACCCCTTGACAACCAAGCGTGCTTTGTGCTTGTCAATTTCACAATTTTCCTTTAACTTTGTTTTAAACACCCACTTCACACCAATGATTTTGTGTCCATTTGGAAGATCAGTTAACTCCCAAGTATCATTCCTCTCAATTGCATCAATTTCAGCATCCATTGCTTTTCGCCATTTTTCTTCTTTGACAGCACTCTCAAAAGTCACGGGATCACATTCTGAAAACAAAGCAAAGTGAGTAATTGGATCTTCAATTCCAGTTACCTCATAATCTTCCATCCAAGCAGGCCTTCTTATAACACGACGAAGAGATTGAATTTCTTCTTCGTTAACTCCAACTACTGTTGGTGAGGATTGACTAGCTGAAGAAGTTGCAATGGACGAATTTTCAGGCATACTAGATGCTGAAATTTGCTCTTGTTCAGAATCAATATCACAAAGAACTTCGGTAGGCTGCTGCATATTCCAATCCCAAGTGTTTTATTCATAAAAAACAACATCCCTGCTAACCACAATTTTTTTCGTCAGTGGATTAAATAATTTATATGCTTTAGATGTATCACTTACACCTAGAAAGACACATTTTTCAGCCTTGTCATCAAGTTTTTTTCTTTTCTGTTCCGGGACATGAGCATATGCAATGCATCCAAAAATTCTAAAGTGATCCACATTTGGTTTTCTCCCACTCCAAGCCTCTTCTGGCGTCATATTTCGAACTGCGAAGGTTGGACTTCTGTTCAAGACATGAATACACCAGTTTACTGCTTCTGGCCAAAACGTCTTTGGAACTCTTCCTCTTACCAACAAGCTTCTAACCATGTTGAGGATGGTTCTATTCTTCCTCTCTGATACACCATTTTGTTGTGGTGTATACGCAGTTGTAAGCTCTTTTCGGATGCCATGTTCTTCACAAAAAACTTCAAATTCTTTTGAGCAATATTCACCACCACGATCTGTGCGAAGTGTCTGAATCATCCTTCCTGTCTCATTCTCCACACGAGCTTTGAAATTTTTAAATGTAGAGAAAGCTTCTGACTTTTCCTGTAAAAAATAAACCCACGTTTTTCTAGAAAAATCATCAATGAAGGTAATTAAATATTTTTTACCTCCATTAGAAATTGGATTTATTGGACCACAAATATCTGAATGCACCAATTGCAAAATTCCCTTTGCTCTCCATGAGTTCCCTTTTGCAAATTCAGAACGATGTTGTTTGCTAACAACACATTCTTCACATACTAAGGAATGAGGAATTGTGATTTGAGGGAGGCCTGTCACCATATTTTTCTGTTGGAGTGTCTTCAACCCACCAAAGCTCAAATGGCCATAGCGAAAATGCCACAACCATGAAGGATCTTTCATTTCAGCCATTAAACTAGATTGGATTCCTTCAATCTTTAATGGAAACAATCTGTTTGAACTCATCTGAATAACGACAATAGCACCTCTAACAGAATCATATATTTCACAAACACCATTTTTAATAGTGATCACATAACCCTTTTCTTGTAATTGGCCAGCACTCAATAAATTACTTTTCAAATCAGGAACATACAATACATTAGATATTGTTTCCACAAAACCATTCTTGGTTTTTATTTTAATGTCACCTTTTCCCATTACTTTCACAGTAGAATGATCACCAAAACTCACAGTAGATTGAAAATTTTCATTCAGATGAGAGAAAGAAGACTTACTACCACTCATGTGGTTGCTACAGCCAGTATCCACATACCAAACATCTGGCTCAATTTGCTTTTCATCTTTAGCAACCATCAATAAGGTTTCACCTTCCTCCTTTTCTGCAAAGTTTGAACTTTCTCCTTTTTCTTTGCTATTTGGCAGCTTAGTATAACATTCAGATTGATAATGACCAAATTTATGACACCTGAAACATTCTACCTTGTATTTATCAGGGGCTCCTCCTCTGCCACTGCCTTGAAATTGATCATTATTGGCTCTGAAATTAGTGGACCTTCCTCTGCCTCTGCCTCTGTCTCTACCTCTGTCTCTACCTCTGCCTCTACCTCTTCCTTGAAAATTGTTGGAACGAGTATCGGTAGAAGCCTTTAATGCTTGCTCATCTTTGTTTGTTACAGGATCCTTCCTTAGTTCTCAAGTCATATATGGCGGTTAGGCGCAATGAGGCCATTGCGCCTTCGGGTCTTTATGCACGATGGAGACATTGCGCATTTCATAGGGCTTGTATGTTTTGGGCCTATTATGGGCTTTATCCCTTTGTGGGGCTATTTGTGGTTTATCCAGATCAATGACTGTGAGAGTGAGAGCACAATGTAAGGACCAACATTGTTGTCACTGATCGCAAATGCAGATAATAACTTTTGCAAGTAATTAATTTTTTTTTATATTTTACAGAGGGGATAATTAGCTGAAGGTGAAATATCAAAGGTGAAAAAAAAAACACGAAGACACTCTTCCTTCTGTAAACCATCCATGCTTTTCCTTCTCCAGTTCTCCTCATTATCTTCACATCATCAACCGGCGAATGTGAGATTTCTCTCTCTCTGATTCTCCCCTTCTCCAGAAATAGAAGGGGTGAAGGTAGCATGTCTTCTATGGTTGTAGGGTTTCAAAGAGGCTTATTGCCTTCATCGCGTTCTTGTTCTATGTCTTAGGTCGAGGAAGCTTTTGGTGCGAACTGGACAGTGTTTCCTCCTAAATGGTTTCTTTTTCTTAGGAAGGTTATTTCTTTCTCCACTTTATTCAATTTTCATCTTCCTTATTCATTTCCTATTTCTATATTTTCTTACTGTTTTGTTTTTACAATCAACAACTAAATCACTATAATTCAACACTGGGAAATCAAATTTTGCAATCCAATGAATGTGAATGTTTCTTAGTTGCGTTGTGTGTGTGACTGTATTGGGTTTTTGGACACAAGGAGATGTTATGAGAGATAACAGAAGGTGATTGTCTTAGAGTTCATCTATTTCATCTGTCTTGTTCTTTATGGTATTTACTAATATATTATAATTTGGGGTGCTGAATTTTGAGATATGAAACATTAATATTGATAGCCTTTTCCTATGGCACTATTCCATAAAAATCAATTTTTCCCCTTCAAATTCGATGAATTGAGATCTCAAATTGAGCTCTTAGTAAGTTTTATGTTCTTGGATGAGTGAATTTTGGAGGGGGCAAGGTTTGTAGAAGCATGGAAGGTCTATTTGAAGTACGAAGTTTCAAAAGTCATTGCTTGGAAAGCTAGTTGCATAAATGGTTAGAGGATTTTATCTTTTTCATTGTTAAGGAACATTTTATTTTACAATGACCAAATGGGCAAGGGGCCTTTGGTCTGCTAGTTAGTTGGAGTTATTTCAGAATTTTCAATTCCACTGGGTGCATCTATAAATGTTTTAATCATGATTGGTTGTTGATTCTCTAATTGATTTATGTTTGATTGTAATATAGGATAACTTTGGTTGATTCTCCAAAGCTTTACTTTTGAAGTGGGTGCAAAAATTGGATCATGATGTTGAAACATTGAGAGCACAAACAATTGTGGGTTCGTAGTAATTCGACAAGCCTCAATGAAAGGTAACTTTTTACATTTATTTATTTGTTATAACTGTTTTAATAGCAACAAACGATATAATTGATATTTACTTTTGGATTTTTAGGTTGTAATTGTTTCAATAACATAATGAGTATATTATTTCAAGCGTCTAAAACCCACAAATACAGAACCCGGATCTCAAAGTGAACACGTTTCAAATAGTATTTCAGTTCCAATTGTCCAAGAATCCTATCAACCTCAGAGACAAAATGTTAATATAGAAAATCTTGAGGTGGATTTGGGAAAAGACCTTCAACTTATTCAAAGACATAAAATCCTATCGATGAGAGGATATTCAAAGAGTTTATTTGCTCAAAGGGTCAACTAAACAATTCTTAAACCATTCCATCAAACGGAAATGTATGAAAAAATGAGTAGATTCAATCCTAAGTGGTATGAAGAATTTGGTTCTTGGTTGGAGTATAAGTGTATCACAATATTATGAAAATTCACAATCAATTATATAGATCAATCACAAAAGTACGCCAGTGCTCGTGTCACAAGCAATATAGTGGATGCGTGAGTCCAAGTATCGTACCCATGGAGACTGAGTAAAACTACGGCTATATGTGAAGCAATAAGAGTAACAATAATATTTAAGGATTAACTAACAACTAAACTATTACAAAATTTTTAAACTAAGGTAAAACTACTGATTAATTAGAAAATAAAATAAAAGATAGGTTTCAAGTATTCAAAAGATAGATTGAGATCAATTTCCTCAATATTGTAACTTCACCATAATGCAGTAACGATACTATAGCAATTATCCAGTCAGTAATTAGAACATTCATGCATGCAAGGGCTCTCACCAATAATACATGTATACTAATCCCCATATCTATATGCTTCATAGTTATAACTCCATTAAGTGCAAGTTCTTTGAGATTTTGTGGTGTGAATAATCTCTCTACCCACTATTAACTAATTTTAATTAGCTAAACCACAATATTTAATAACTTTCAAGGCTGTTCTATATCTCTATAGTGCAAACCCCATGTTACTCTCAACTCTTTCTCGATGAGTGTAACACCCCGTTCTAGAACTGGTTTGTTAACACTCCTTTATG